CCGTTCTACATATTCCGCCTCTATGGCAGAATATGTAAAGCGACCTGGGCGGAAGCCCTAGAGTTACGAAAGTGAAGAGTGACGCTCTAGGCCCACCCCCCTCGTTACTGTGCAACTTCCGGGCTCCTTCTTGGGCTGTCCCTCTTGCACTCTTTAGAACTCCAGGTCCCATCATTCCCTGACAGCAGCTCAAGCCGTCGCTTGAATTACGCATGAACCTAAGGCGGCGCTTTTTTTTTTTAAAAAAAAAATAAACCCTGGCAATTTTAAAGAAATAAATAAAGACTGGTGAACTTCCCAGAATTCCCCAGCCGCAAAGGATTCTGGGAGTTGAAGTCCACCCGCTTTGAAATGTGCCAAACTCGAACAGGGGTCTTGAAAAGCAGCCTATTGGCCGAGCCCTGCCGGCCAGCCCAGCAGTCCCAAGACCCCCCCCCCTTCCTCAGGGGGCTGCATCATCATGGGGGCTGCCCAGTCTGCCACCCCCACCCCAAACTGGGCTCCTCCTGCAGCTTGAGCCGCCCCACCAGAGCGAAACCCTCCTGGCTGAAGTGTTGAGCCCCCTGTTCCCTTCCTCGCTGATCCTCCGTGGCGTCTGGACCCCTGGCAGGGGGAAGCCCACAAACGCCGCAGCTTAAAGGCAGACACGCTCCGCTCCAAGAATCTCGCTTTTATTGCCCCGGTTTCTTCCGCAGGAGCAGCTGCTCTCTCCCCCTCCCCTCCCTGTTGGTGCTGGGACTCCCTTGACGACCCTCCCCCTTTCCATCCCCGCACCCGGTTTTCCCAGGTGCCCCCCCACCCCCCGTCCCCCCGGCTTGGAAGGCAGCTGATTCCGGGGCCAGTTAGTGGTTAGTAGAAGCATGGCTTGCAGGAAAGAAGTTAAAAAGTCCCTTTTTGTTAAGCGTGTTTTCATTTCTAATCCGCTATGCTAATGGCATGGGTGGAGACCCCAGCCAGGGCTTGGGGAGGGGGGCAAAGGCGCTTTAACCTTGACCTCCATGGGGGGAGGGGGAGAACTGGGGTGCAAAGAGGTTCTCCCCTCAAACCACCTGTTCTGCTCCAGCTGAAGGAGGGGTGGCTGCCGAAAAGGACGTCTCGCTCAATCTGGACTGCTTTCGATCAAGGCCTCTGAAAGGGGTTGTTTCAACCACTCGGAACACAAAGATGTGCGAGCCAGAGGCAGGGCTGTCCCGGGTTCAAAGCACGCCCAGAAACGACCCACCTCAAACTCAAATCGGAAGCTTCACACAACGTCCCCCCCATCCAAACGGTTTCCCCAATGACACCGAATGCACTTCTTGGTAGAGCCGCGCCGCAAATCCCATCGTTCCCGCCAACGCAGCCACCCTGGAGTGGCCCGCGATGATGGATGGGGGCGTTGTAATTCCACACCTGGGGAAGCCGGTAGCCTTGGCCAAGCCAGCACAGACCTCTGGTTGAGGACAAAATCGCCTTGAAATCCAAAGGGCTTGGAAGACGTTTCCTTCACCCGAATATCGGTGCCCGCTTGTCCTCTCGGCCTTCTCGCACAAGGAAACGGATGAGGAAATAATTCCCGGCTCTGGAAATCTGGGGGAGAGCTGAGAAGAAGCCCTCGGGCCTCCAGGGGTACAGGAAGATCTCCCGGCTGGGACCCTCAGGTCCATTAAGACGAAAAGTGTCCCGAAATAGTGGAAGACGTTTGTGTCCTGCAGAACTCAGCCCTTGTTCCTCCTCTCCTGATTCGGCAGGCCTTCTCAGCTGCCCCAAATGTCCCCTTCTCCCCCCACATCTTCAGCCCAGCCATGCTCGGCCCGGCTTCCTCCTCACTTCTCCACTCCCCCACTCCAGAGACAAAGGCACGTTTTGTTCATCGGCGACAAGGCGTTTTAGAGTCGCTGCCGGTCACGACTGCGGGGCCCGCTGCCGGCCACTTACAGTTCGGTGCATGTGACGGGGGTCAGCCCGTGGATCAGCAGCGTGGGCCCCAGGTCGGTGGTGAGAATCTCCAGCTGCTCCAGGTAGCGCTCGTACTGAGAGGTGTCGGCGGGGGGACGCGGCAGGTAGAGGAACCGCACGGCCGTCTGACCGCCTTGCTTCCGCAGAAGCTCGTTGACCGAAGCCAAGTACTCGTCAGTCACACGGAAGGTGGCCGCGTTGAGGAAGGTTTCCCCCGAGCGCTTCTCCGTGGGGAGAGCCTCCGGGGGAGCCTGAACCTCAACGGGGCTCGGCCCAGTGCCCGGAGGCTGCGGGTGGCTCTGGCAGCTGGCCACTTGGTCCCAGGTCACGATCTTGATGGTGGCCTTGATCCTCAGCTTGGTCAGCAGCTCCCGCAGCTTCTCCTCCTTGCTCACCCAGCCGCCGTCCCCCGACTCCACGCAGATGAAGAGTCGCAGCCGGGCCCCCTTCCAGGAGCTGACCATGGTGAGGATGCAGGCCATCTGGAGGAGGAAGAGGCTGCAGATGTCCACGTAGGTGGGCGTGTCGGGGCGCAGGAGGTTGAGGGGCCAGACGTCGATGTAGCGGCCTTCCAGGCGCCTCTTGGACGCCGAAGCGGAGAGCAGGTCCTTGTCCAACAGGTGGAAGTAGCGGGCCAGGCACACGTTCTTGTGCATCTTCACCGCGTCCGAGACGATGGCCACGTACTCGGAGGGCTTCAGGGCCCGCTGGTTGGCCGTCACCCGCACGGGGGGGAAGTGGGCTTGCAGGGCCGCCAGGTCCACCCCGAACTCGTCGTTCTCCCGGGCTTGGCTGAAGGCCGGGTCCTGCAGGAAGTAATCCTCAGGCACGCAGTCGTCATAGAAACCGAGGACCAGCGTGTTGGGTTTCATCCCGCCTGCAAGGCAAAGGAAGCACACGAACCAGTTCGACTCTGGCGGCCCCAGCGGGTCCTGAAAGGGAGAACCAGCCGGGCTCCCCCCCAACCCCCCCAGGCAGATCAAGGCGCAGCACCCCGACTGGGATTTATAGTCCCCGTTAACTCCTCCCCCCCAGCCCCAATAAAGGAATGGGGGTGCAAGAAGCCATCCTGTGGCCGGGTTTGGCCCAGCGGGGAAGGTGCTGGGTTAGAAACTAGGAGACGGTGAGTTCTAGTCCCACCTTAGGCACATATGCGTGGCTGGGTGATCAGGGAAATCGCCAGGAGCCTGGGAATCCTAGTGGCGCCTGAAGCACGAAAGCCATCTGGATGACTTGGGGCCAATCACTAGGAGACGGTGAGTTCTAGTCCCACCTTAGGCA